CTCTCTCTCCGCCGTCTCTCACTCCATCTCACCCCCTGCTCCGGGGGCGTGCCTGTTGCTCCCATCCCACACGCCCCAAGACGTGACCGGCTCCACACCGCCCTCTAAAACGTTCTAGGAGTGGGAGGGTGAGGGTTGGAGGGAGTGGAAATGCTCGTGCAGCTAAGTTGAAAACGACAAAAAAATAAAACGAATACGACAATGCAGTATATGTATTCTTCTACTGGCAAATAATTCGAATCACAGTAGAGAATCGGCCATGAGCTAGTGACCGCCAAGCATTACAAAACACTGCTTACGCATTTTTTAATACGCCGGTGTGAACAAATTTGCTCTGCTGAGCACGTACACAGAACTCAGTAAGCTATGAATAAAAATGTTCATAAGCTTTTAGTGTCTAGAGGATAGAGGTGCATAATCTTTTAAAATCTTATTTTGAGCGCCGTGTGTGGCGCACGGGTACAGCACAGGCACAGGGCCCGGTAGCGCCCAGTCCCGATGGGCGGAGAGGTGGAACGGGTGGCCGGGTGGAATACACAACACAGCTCGGTATAGGACCTTTCAAGGACCATCAATCAAACTTGTCCACGCTACCTCACCCGCAGGGCGCTTCCCCTTCGCTCGCCCACACACCTCGCTATTTCTCTCTCTCTCCCTTTCTCTCTCCCTCCCTCGCCCTCTCCCCCTCCCCCCGCTCTCTCTCTCTCTCTCTCTCTCTCTGATCAGGGGAGTTGTGCGGGGCGCACCAAAGCTGGGGGAAGAGAAAACGCAAGGGAATGTGGAACAAAAATAAAAACCATGTAGATGAAGCGTTAGGATCCTCTCTTAACCCTGTGAATCCTGCGACATTTTTCTGGCCAGCCGGGTAACTGTATGGTCGGTATGAACCCACGAGCGTTAGGGCCATTTACATTACATTCCCTCTTCACCCTTCTCGTGGGTGGTGTGCAATGACCCGGCAATGACAGACCGCTGGCAAGATCGTCTCTTCCTCCTATCTGTTCTCTGCAGACTCGGCAGACGCCTGTGAGGTAGGCAACGCTTGGCGTCGCTGCACCCAGGATGAGCGCACTGCCTATCCCCGCAGGGGCTAGTGGAAGAGCTGAGCGCAGCGGGTGAAGGCGGGATGGCCGTGGACAGGGGGACTGCTAAAAATGTTAACTGGAAAGATGTCAAATAATATTCCTCGTAAGATGGGAAATTCTTTTGACATAGTTTTCCTTGGCAAGCAAGAACTAGCACTTTGAAATTTCCGAAAACATTCGCAAATCTAAAAACCAGATGATGTGATAAAAAGTTTCGCAAATTTACAAAAGTATTTTTACAGTGTAGCATGAGTTTTCTCCCTGTTTCAGCTGTCTCTGAAGCTGATGCAGTACTTTTAACTCTGTTCGGATGCTGCACCAACATGTCTCGGTTTCTCAGGTCCTCATCTCTCTTTCTTTTAGAACCGATCGTTTCCGCTCGCCATTCCCGAATATACTACTGCTGCTCCTTTTCTCCTTTTCCCAACCACCACCCACTCCTCCTGTCTCATCGCAGCCTGCGTGCTCCCTGCAAATTCTGCTTATAAGGTCGATATGTCTCCTTCGCCCTCCTGTCAGGCGCCTACAGCTACCGTGCCGCCGCCTGCGATCGGCTGGGGCTGTTGCTGTCGTCCGGCGGCGGAACCAGGGTCGAACGGGGGAGGCTGGAGTGGGGTAGGGAAAGGAGCGGGGGGATGGGACAGGGAGGAAGCTTGACGCGCTCTTCTCCGCTCCGCTCCCCTGCCTCGTGCGCTCCTAGTATTCAGTGAGATCAAGTGCGTGCTAATCCAAGTTATTCAGCCGGTAATGCAATAGAGGAGCGCGGGGACGGGGGACGGACTGGGCGTCGTGTCGCTCCGTCGCCTTATCAAATTAAACTCTCGTTAATCTCAAACGCTGCGGGAGGCTGAAGCTGGAGCCGAGACTGACGCCGGCCCCCCGCGCTGTGCAGCTCTGCTGTGTGGCGTTTCACCCCCGATCGAGTCTGTAGAGAAGAGGGCCGCACATTCTCGAGACGAAGAAGAGGTGGAAGCTCAGAAGCTCAGGCAACAAGCGGGGAAGCTGACGTCTAACTAAATGACTGGCCATAGGAACATGGGGGACGCTGAGGTAAAGAACGAGTGTCATCAGAAAATAATTGAGTGTTATAGAAACTTTAAGGGAGCTCTCTACTCTAGAGCAGTAAAACTGGGCTGAATAAAGGGGGAAAGTAACTTTACAAAGTCTTCGGATTCCCTCGACAAATCCCAATCGATTTTAAACAGGGTCCTACATTCAAAATTGTCGGGTGGTGATAAGGAGGTTTGAAAGGGTTGGGAGTAAGGAAGAGATGGGCGAAGTTCCACACCAAGCTGGTGTGAGGGGGAGAGGGGGAGTAGGGCAGTATGAGGGGAGGCAGGGATAGAGGGGGGGAAGATTAAGAGCGCCCCCCAGGGCATTCCACTGCGGCACCAGGAATTCCCGCAATGTCGATGAAAATACTACCTAATGCCCTCTGTACGACGGGGTACTGTCTGTCTGTCAGCCGGTTGGTCGGACTTCGTCCTCCCTCCCGACAAAAACTCCCAACGAGCTCCCTTAATGATGAATCATAGCTGCCAATAGATTTGACATAATGTGAGGACAACCGGGACCGGGTCGCAACGTTCTTGTGTGTTATTCGCATTTATAAGGTTTCAGGCTTCGAAAAAAAACCAAGAAAAAAAACAGTCGGGATAAAATAGCAAATCATCAGCCAACTTCCGCGCGCGGGGTAAAGGACTAGGTGAAGGGTAGCGCCGATGGTGGCGATACTCCTCGTGTGGTGAGTGTGGGGCAGTGTGGGGGTGTCTACGGTGGGGCGTGAGTTTCTCATACTTAGCCTCGCGTGTAGTCTCCAAAGTAACGTAAAGCAGCTCGTGTGACCCACTTATTTGTCTGTCTTGCTGTTCAGATTGGAGATATCTAACCTACCAAACCATTCCGGTAAATGTCATTTTTATAACTGTTCGTAATTCTTGTCAACGACATGCTAGACTTTTGGAAAAAAGAGGAACCGAAACAGGAAGATGATGATGATCCTGTGACGAAACTTATGAAGCAGACGGGCTGCCTAGACTTACACCACCAAGTGCAGGTAGATCCCCTCCTCTTTTTTGAGAAAAAGATTATTAGAACTATTGAGTTTAACTCGTTTTGTGAGAGTCAGTCAAATTATTTAAATGAAAATTTTCTTATTTTTAAATATAAAAGTGACTGGTGCTCATCTTGCTTTGCTTATTTGGGTACGACGCCCACATTCTGAACATGCAGAACTAGTATTTTAAACTTGTTCTAATTAATTGTTTTGTATTATGCTAATTATTTGCTTCCTTCTTTGCAGTACTGCATTGCTGAGAGGAAAGATTGGCGGCTTTGTCAAGAGGAAGTGAAAAAGTTCCGGAGTTGTATGGATGCGTATAATGCACGAAGAAAAGAAAGCTTAAAGTAAGCAAAATGATTGACACAATTTTTGTTGGGGCAGGGGGTCTTCTGGCTGGGTTTATGTTAGGCAGCCCCACATCACGCCGCATATTTCAAACTCTTTGGTATAGAAAAGCTGTATTAAGCAATGAAAAAATTAAATTGGTTATCGTAGTGCGCACTGATGTAGGCATGACAGCGGGTAAAATTGCAGCTCAGAGTGCTCATGCTGCAGTGGAGGCTTATCGTGCTGCAGAGGAGCAAGCTCCAACCTTACTGAAATTATGGTTAAACTCAGGACAGCAAAAAGTTGTTGTGAGGTCTGATACACCCGGTGAACGTGGCCTCATGGACTTTGTCCAAAAAGCTAAAAGTAAGGGGATAATCACAAGTTCTATAAAAGATGCTGGTCACACACAAGTCAAGAGAGGAACTTTAACAGCTGTTGGAATAGGACCTGGTCCTGAATCACTTATCAATGAAGTCACAGCGAGGCTGAGAATTTATTAGCTTTGTTAACGTTTGTAAATTGCAATGTTGGTAGTTAGATATCTTTTAATTTTTGTACAGTCTTAGTTATGTACTAGTCTAACCATTCAATTAAGTAGCACTTCTAGACAATGTGTTAATTTAATATGGTGCTTTAAGGTATTGGATTTTGGGCAAATGACTAGTATACCAAGTGTAACAAAACACCCAAAATGCTAAATCTATTTATTTTAATAAACATTTCCTCGTAAGTTTTGATCTGGTTGGCTTTTT